AAGTCTGCATTTCCATGTCCTAGTGCCACTGGAGACATAAGCAGAGATTCATGAAGAGAAGTGCTGGCTTGAAAACCTCTGTACAAGTTTAGATCTTGCTCTCAGCCATGCACTTTGTTATTGTTTCAGGCATCCTGCTCTGCACTCACTTTCCCTCTTGCAGTTAAGGCAGGGTGGGCTTCAGGACGTACATTTGTGGGTGCCTTTCTTTTATTCTCACCCTATGAATTCTTAGTGCTGATGCACTAAGGGATAGGTTTTTTGACCTATTTTCGGAGCTGGACATGTAGAGATATATTTTGAAACTGTGAATCTAAATAATACCCATGTATGATTAGTAGACAGAATGAGGACTGCAGAGTTAAAATTCCCAAGACTTGTTATTAGACTCCTTTTCCTCAGTGATGCCAACTGAATTACATGTCAGAGACCTGTGCTGTGAAGAACTGCCCTGGCATGTGGGCAGCTCTATGGCAGGATGCCTGGCACCCAGGCAATTGATCTCTCCTTGCTACCAACTGCGTCCAAAATCTTCACCCCAGGGGTGGAAGGAACATAATTCACTTCCCAAATCTGAACCAACAGAAGATTGATCTGCCAGTAAACAACCTTAGTCAACATTATGCCACGAGTACTAGTGACAGCAACACAACGTTCCAGTTTTGGTTGGGCCAATGTCTTATTTGACATCTTTTCACTGGCAAAGACATGTTCTGTCTGAATTGGGCAGATACAAGTGGCCTAGGTTCATCTTTGCACCTTTCTTCATGTGCTTCTCCTCAATAACTTGGGGTAGGGTTCTGTAAGACACTACTACCAGTTATAAATAACACTATAAGTAGAACAGACACTGGGACACCAGCTGCAGAAGGAGCAGCTTTTTAGGTTCATAGCAGAGAAGAAGGAAGAATTCTAAAATTTAAGTCACTGAATATTGGAATCTGTCTTTTCCAAAGACTAACAATGTCATACTATAGCACAAGCTTTCCAGCTTGGAAGACAGCTAAGAATGAATGCATCTCTGTGCATGTCATTGTAATAGTTGAATACAAAAGCATAAACCCATCACAGCCTGAGTATTTACAGCCTTCAAATTCACTGACCTTGCATTTCTAGGAGGGAAAAAAGAAAAAAAAGAAGAAGAAAAAAAAGAAGTAGAAACTATTGGGCTTCCAATATTGAGCTTTCGAAATATTTTCCAATGGTGACCTGGCTGTGACATTTTTGATAGTGATACAAGGTGAGTTCTTTGATAGTAATGTAGGCATACTTTCAGTCACAGTGCAAAAGACCTACAGACGTGAAGTTACATATGCTAATAACCTAAAAAAAGTAAGCATATCAAATGGATTTTACCTTCCCTGATTTATGTAAAATCTAATAATTCAGTTGTCGTTCAGACATTAAACTTTATTTTTTGCAAGGTGTAAGGATAAGGAGATAAATTTGAGTTTGAAACCCCCCCAAAAACCCTCTCATTGATACCATAAATAGGCTATTTGACTGGGAATCTTTGCAGAGACTGGCTGTGAGAAAAAAACAGTCATTAAAATGAGGTCACAGAACATAAACCTTGAGAGAAGGCATCAGTATGCTTCACTCTTGCAACAACCTCCGAGGAAACCATGCTTCTCAGAGTGTTTATGTCTGAAATGATATCTGTTTGCCGGCTTCAGATCAGTGAGGAGGAACTGTAGTGCCTTCTCTTTTTTCCCAGCCCTATCTGGCTGCCAGTGTCTCTGAGCTGTCAAGGAACAAATGCTCTGACTTCATCTTGTGTGCTCTTTTCTCCGTATTCTGACAACGCCTCTCAGGTTCACAGATGTGTCAACCCCATTGTAATGATTTCTGCCAAAGCAGATGCACTGAGAAATTAAATGTGGAGATATATGTTAAAACTGCCTTTCATATTCATCAGAGATGCCAAGCCCCTGAAAGAAATTTCTAAGGAATAAACACATCTGTAATGGTTGGAGGAGGTTTTTTTTTTTTTTCTTCTACAGGTAATACTTTATATAAAGCAAGTCCTCTTCACTCTGATTTTCTCATCTGAGAGAAGGAGAGGTCACAAAAATCAGAACATAAAAACTGACAGAATCTTACCATTAAACCAGTTACATTTAGAAATCTAATTTCTTTTCAGAGAAGCAGTGGGATTGCATAGAACAGGATTATTCCATTTCCAATTTGTCATGCCAGCCTAACATCTTCAACAGTTCTGTACTATTTTCACAGGTGTTTTTACTACCTATGTTAATAAAGAAAATTATGTCCCAGTCAGCAAGCAAAAAAAAAAGTATGAAGGAAGAATGGTTTCTTATGAATGGAAAGTGCTTAGTTCTCATACATACATCCCAGGAGGACAACACCCTTCCTTAGGAAGAACTTCTAATTGATTTCCTTCAGCAAAACCTTTGGGATCTCTATAAATTAGGTCTAGTGGGTAGGCTTTGTCAATCCAACAATTTCCATAAAGTAAAAATTTTAACTGCTCCATTTCTCTCAAGGGGATGTGATTATTTAAAAGAGAAGGGGAATAAAAGAGTGAGAGAGAAGGGATAGCAACTCATGCTATTTAAATAAATGTCAGCTCCAGCCAACTTGACCTTCACTGCAAAGATGTTTTTTTTTTCAGAAGGCCACTTTACTAATTTCAGAACAAAATTTCATGAGCTTATGTTTGGAGACATTTCCATAACATTTTGTAAACTACTTCTCACCATCCCTATTTATTCTAGTCATATTCTTCCTTAATAGCTCCTGCCTGAACTTTCATTTGATCTCATCCCTGTCCAGCCATGTAAAACCAAAAAGTCCTGCACTAGCAAGAGGCCTTAAGACCACTGTTCTCTATTGCACTCAGACACAGCAGATAACTTAAGGTGCAGTACTTTTTATTCTTCCATTTAATCCATCTACCTGAAGTCAGTAGAAGTTGAATTAGCTCATGCACTTTCAAATGACTCATCAGTCATGCATTTGCTCCATGAAGTGCATCTCCTCCTGCTCTATTCCATGAAGGCACAGTGCAACGAGGGCAGTACTCAAAAAAGGAGGCAGGTGTCCAAACTTCCCATGTCCTTTTCTCACTACCAAATATATCCTCTCTAGGATCTTGCCTATATAAGTACTGTAGCATCAGAGCTTGTAGCTGTCTATGTTGAGTTATACAAGACTAAGATATATGAAATCTCAGGATAAATGAGCAATTGCCTGCATGTAATTTTTAATTGAAATGTTAATGCAATCTCCTATGCAGCAGACAACATTCAAATCAGATTTTCTTCAAATTTGCTGTTGCTGAAAATATACACACAAAAAAAAGAACCCTTCACAAATAAGATCTCGAATCCTAACTCAGATGGGAAAATTCACAGTCCGCTCTCTTTAATTAATTTAAGCATCACTAATTTAAACTAAGTTCTCCTGAGTAATTCCGGTAACAGCACTTAAAAATAATGCTCCTGTGAAAAGCTCTGCTGCTTCAGAAAATGATCAGAATTAATATTGCTCATTTCATGAAGAAGATTGTCTTTGTTGTGGCACTTGCAGAAAGTTCTAGTCTATTAGCAAACAAGATCAAAAATGAGCTCAGTAATACTGGCTGAAACAAACAAGATTTTTGATATTCACATATTGTAGGTCTTATGAGAACCTGAAGGGGAATAGGGAAAACAAAGCAAAAAATATGTGTACCCACAATGGGAGGGAAAACTATCCTTCATTATACTAGTAAACAATAAGTTAAGTCACAAACACTTTTATCATTGTTATACATAGTTCACTAATTCAGGTCACAATGCCAAAATTCTCTTTCCATCATGACAAGCAGTTGCTGGTCTACTTGCATTTTTAATTTCTTCCTGAAATTTCTCACTGATCAACTCCCAGGCTGCTCTGATTTTATCCCACACACTGTAAATGCCTCTGGCTTTGGTCCAGTAAATAGAAAAGTTTTTTTTTATTTAACATGATGAATTTTTGATTTTCTATGAAATGTTGCATGCTAAACTTCAGTGAGCTCCTACAGAAATACTGATTCTGCAGGAACAATAGAGTTTGTGAGATGAAATATACAGATTTAAGTCTGTAAGAAGGGCTGGTCTGTAAGTGGACTTAAAATATGTGACCAAGTAGATACATGACATTTTAGATGGACATACTCAAAACACTAAGTATGATGTCAAAATATTCCTTGGCTAGGTTCATTGTCAAAAGTTAGATCCATTGTTTCACAAGTTAGTTTGCTACAAAAAAAACAAAAAGGTATATAAAAATAACTCATTTAAACTAACTGTTACCGACTATGACCATGAGAACTCAGCTAAGTGCAGGTAGAGTCCCACTTTCTTGGACTTTGCTTATCTTTGTTCCTGGTTTTTGGGGGCTAGCAAAATCAGTTTTACTTAGAGGGTATTACCACCACAACCATGATTAGATCTATTCATTTCTTCTCTATTTCTGTTCATGGGCACCTGGTATTTATTAGCATGTTTAAAGAGGCTAGACTATACACTGGTGTAAATATCATAGACAGGAAGAAAGTGTGTGGAATTCTACAGGGAAGGGCAAGATGGCTAATTTTATATATGTCTATCTTTAAACATGTAAACATTATATAAAGGCTACCCGTCTGGCACTTCATCCATAACTTATACATCAAAAGAAGATTCTAACCTTTATTTGTTTATGTAAAACAGCCAGAGGTCATAAAAATGTGTGTATGTACCACTTTCTTTTTCTAATGCTGCAATCTGTGTAGTGTTGAAAATAACAGCATTTGGGAAGACAAACAGACCTGGGGTCGCTATGTCCTAACATATTGCAGTATTCCTTTCAATGTCTTACTTCACTTCTAAAACTGATTTTTGTTTTGCTTTTCTTTCTGATATCAACTAGAAAATTAGATGCTATTGAGTGAGCAAGTTGAACAATAAGATTTCTGATCTTTCTCCTCATTTAGAAAACTGAGATTACTTTTCTATTGGTTTGCATTTCAGATGTGCTGATTTTCAAGTGCTTCTTAAAGCAAAGAAGAAACCCTAAAAAGTAAGTATCTCTCCAAAGCACTTTCTAGCAAAATGGATGGCAGTACAAGGTTTTTACATTAAACTTAGAGTCAAGTACCTGAAAGAAAATGTAATATAAAAAGATTTCTCATTGAAGTATGTTTCTATTTACACGTTTCTGGAAGCTTCAATCCAACTAAACAAAATCTGATGCTAGGTTCTCAGTTGACTTAAACTGAAGTTGATCTATTGCTCTTTGTTAAAAGAAAAAATTACTGAGTTGCTAAAAAGATGTAGAGTATATCTTTGCCTTTTTTATTACAGTATATGGGACTAAGCACCACAGAGAATGTTGAGATATTAATTTTTGTAAGGATTTTCTAGAACCTAACCTTCCCTGGCTTGCACCTGATTAATTCCAAGGCTGAATACTGAAATGCTTTCTTAGGCAAAACTCATAATTTAATTAAAACTTATCATTAAATTCTGAGATTGTATTCAAGAGTTTGAATCCAGATTTGCAAAGGCATTTAGATACTTAAAGGTGCAGATAGGCATCAAATAAGATTTGTAAAAAAGCCTACACAAGATATAAGACTAATTCATTTTGAGAAGTGGTGCATATTAGATGTCAAAGAGACCTGGTGTTTTGGAAATATCATTGGACATTTCCATGCAAAATTAGGTGCCAACAGACTTTAGAGTTTTTATGGTTTGCCTTACATCTGGAATTCCTTTAAAATCTATCTCTCAGATTAAAAGAGTTGAAACAGATACAAGAAATTAATACATCAAATAATTAAAAAAAAAAGGGCCAGCCTGTAAATATCTGACAGATAAGCTCTGAATGTTCACATTATAAACTACTCTCTATGCATATCTCATGACTATATCTCATGACTTATGAGACGGGAGGGTGTAATACATAGAGAGACTGGATTACCTGACTTTACAAAGCTGTTTATAAGGACACGTCTGCTTTGTCTCAGCATTTGAAATACATTTAGAGCATGCAAGCTCCTTTTCAATTGCAAGTTGAGTACAACTATGTGAACTATTACATTTTTCTCCTGCAGAAATCCAGAGAAATGAAATTGCTGCCTTGAGCCATGTTTTGAACTACAAACTATTGCCATTTGAACCAAGAAAAGCTTTAAAACTCACACTGCAAGACTTCTTCAGCAGCTACAAAATCCCCCTCCAAGCCTCCAAATCAGCTTCTGATGGGAACATTTTGGTTTTGAGGTTGCCCCCACAGGTATTGACCTTTGAAGTCAATCACTGCTGAGTTTCTTGTGTGTTGATCTTACCTGAGTACAACCATAGGTCCCTAAAAAGTACTTATAAGAAATATGAGTGTGCCTAAAATGTTAGTTAGCCATGACCACACACGCGAAACAGCCCTGAGTGTAAAGAGCTGACAGATTAATCTTGCTAACAAAGAAAAGGTAAACAAATCTTTACCTTTCAGCTTTTTGTAAACAAACAGAGAAAACCAATAGAGATTTCTTTTGTTCTGTAATTTTATGTGTGCCAGTGCCATGCCTTTCCCAGTTCATTTGTTGTGATTTATATTTTCAGAAAGCATATGTTGTGTTGCATGAGAAATATCTCTGTTGAATTGAATTCTCTGACTGCAATAACTGTAGATGAGCTCAGTGTCTTAATCTGATGGTTATTTCTTCTTTTTATAAAACAGATCTATACAGTGGCTGCATTACTTACAGTAATTAATTTTTGTCTCATCCTGCAAATTCTTCAGTGTGGGCATTGCCAGAATATTTTTTTGTTGTTGCACGTAGTGAAGCAAAACAATACCCTGCTGTAAGTTTCTATTTAAATATTGTGACACAGATCAAACCCTGCTTTCATTGTAAGGGTTCAGATAAAGCATCAAGAAGTTCAAAAGAAAAAGGAAGATTTTTCTAAAAACTTCAGCAAGACTTCTGTAAGAACCAGCATTAATACACTAAAAGATAACTGAATATCTGAATAAGGTGGCTGGAAAAAGAGTTTTTTACCTGCAGATTTCTCTGGTGAAGGTAAAAGAAGAACATCCACAGAGGATGTGACAAAAGCAGAGAGTACAAGGATTAAAGGACCAGAGGTGGCTTTAGTTCCTGTAACTCATTATTTAGCAAAGATGGGCTCTGGGAAAGTGCACCCTCACTGCAGTGTTAATATTAAATGCTAACAGCAACTGGTCAGCAGGCCGTACTTGTGGAGCAGACCAGAGAAAAATCTGAGGTTGTGTGGCCAGATCATGACTACAAATGTGTAAGCAGCAGTGTGCCCTTTGGACTAGGGGACTTGTCAGCCCCTGAAATTAGGAGCCTTCACCTAAGTAACCAAATCAGAATTAAGGGATCAGGGCAATGTAGGCAATGTGTTAGAAGCAAAATATATCCCAGTTAAACCATGTTATACATAAATATTTTTCATGGATTTTAAGGTGCGGAAGATGCAGAAGAGCCAACAAATCAGAAAGTCTGCTTCCCTCTGGTGACAGGGGCTGCTCTTCGGCCATCCATTCCAGTGCTTGGTACATCAGGCAATGACACACTTTCCCATTTCCCATAGCCAATCCTAGAAGAACTATTCCCATTCCTAACCTTCTAGCCCTCTGTAAAAGGAAATTTTTTAATATACATGCTGAACTAATACAGCAAGGGATGTGGGGTCTGTGCCTTTTTTTTCTCAAATTGCAAAGAATTATTTTAAATTCAAAATAAATTTTAAAAAATAGGATAACCTTACCAGTTTGAACCAAGGAAAAACTATTTTACAGCCAGTACAAGAAAGACATCTTCTGCCTGCCCCAGGTATAGTGCTGGAACTGGAAGCACTGCCTTCCCATACCTTTGAATTTTTGAAGGTGATGGTAAAAGTGACCCAGTTTATACACTTGGCTTTAGCATCCTTACGTTGCTGAAAGTAGAGAAATTATGACTTGGGCAGCAGGAGGTTGAAGGCACACACCATTCTGTTAGATAAACTATGTCAGGAGATTTTTGGCTTAGTTGGTGGTGTCATACTTTCATCTTAGTGTCCATCCTCGGGCTGGCTGTATGGGTGGTGAATCAGGGTTTCCTGAGTGAAAGGAATAGGAAATGGGGCACAAAAGGAACCCCTGAGAGAAGTCTGGAAGACCTATTGTCCAGACATGACAGGGAGGAAGGCAGGAAGAAACAGCATGTTTATAATCCTTGTCATGGATGAGAGCAGCTCATCCTGACCCAACAAGTCAGGATGCCATTGTGCTGTGGTGGCCAGGGCTGAGAATGGGCACAGAGAAGCACAACACACCAGCTTTCGTGGCTGCAGAGGCCACAAGGTCCTCTCAGATCTGCTTTGTGTGAAATGCTCACTTATTTCCCAGCAGTTCACTTCTGGTTTTGTAGAGTTCACTCTGCACAATCTGCACAGTCACCGGTGGTCACATCAGCCAGAGAGACACGTGCTGTGTACAGACGCTCTCTCAGGACACACACACAGCAGAGCAAGCCAGACAGACTTGCCATTTTCCACACAGCTACTGTTACAGGCTCCCAAAATACATGAGTTATTTACTCATTATTGGCTGCCCAGTCCCAGCCCAGGTGCTTTCCAAATAACATGAAGACACTAATCTCTCCCGACAGAACACAATCCAAAATAGGAAAGATCTTGTTGGAACAGTGGTAAGGGACACCAGATCCGAGCAAAGGGCTCAAGGCAATTAGCAGAAACCACCCCCTTAAAATACTTTTGTTGCTGCAGTTATGACACAGCAACTTTATATTCTCCCAGTGCCTTCATATAATATCACCATTCAGTTCAGCAATTTACCCCTTCTATCTGGTTCAAAACTCAGCCACACTTTTCCAAAGAGCTCAAACAATGTTTTTGTTTCTCCTCTGGATAAACACAAACAATTCTGCAATAATGAAGTGTATTTTCCAGGACAGCTTGAGTAAATCAGAACTTCAATGAGAACTTCAGAACTCCTTCACAAAGAGGTAATTTTAGCTGTTTATATAGCTATCTAAAGAACAAAAGTGATTTCTTATTTGATTATATTTCTTTCTTATGTATAAGCCTGCAAATAGGAAGAGAGCTTTTCCTTTCTACCCATCACAAGTTACTTCATAGCTGTAGCACAAGCAGTGCCATCCTACACTAGTTGAGGAGGGAACCATCCATCCATGGCTAACATGACAGGCAGTGCTCTGCATATTCTGAAATATTCTGAAATTTCACTGTTTGAAATGTGACCATTTTCTCAGTAATGGTATAAAATCATGCTGAAACATATCACAGTAAACAGACTCACCTATTCTGCTGGGCAAGATGTTGAGAAAGTGGGCTAAAAACTGTGGCTTGTCAGATATGCTAATAGCTGAGGTCTATTTTCAGCACTGGTCATAAGAAGAATACACTGAGCAAATGTCACTTTTATTAGCCACTAATTGAACATGGATATGGCTAACAGAACTTTCCTTCCTCCTCTGCCTAACCTCAGAAACTATGTCTCCCATTTGTTTATTGGCAATATTCATGCTTCCCCAAAGATTCACCACAAACTGAATCTCCCTGCCAACAGGACCTTGTATGTGAAGTCATTATTCTGTATTTGTTTCTCACTCTTGTCTGGTCCAGCCAATTCATATCATCATGTTCATGCAGCCTTTCTGCCAGCAGAGGAGGGAGTGCAAGTCATGCCTAATTTTGTATTTGGTTATGCCACACTTCAGGGTCAAAGAATACCAAGGAGGTCTACATCCAAACCGGGTGACCTCAGGCAACTTTTAGTTTTACATGTACTTTCAAAGCAACAAACAACCCTGGGTAAACAGTTGAAGAAGTAGTGTTCACAAGGAGATGAAAGAAAGAAAGAGACAACAAAGAAAACTAGCATTGATTGAAGTGAAACATTGGGAAACCATCCCTTCAGAAGGCCTGATAAGAGGAGATAAGGATCATCTGCTCATTATGACTTCCACATATTTTTGTATGTGGACTTCCCCAGACCCAAGCTCATGCATCAAAACATCTCTCAGCTTTCAGCACCTCAGTGGCAGGAATCAGAAACTCCAAAGTCACTCTGACAGAAACTAGGCTCAAATTTAACATTCTAGTTTAAATGCATCACTAGAAAATACATGTAAAATTGTCTTGTACCTGCAGATAACTTCTTTTTAGCCCTACTGGAAATGGGATGACAATGATTCCTGGGAAGTTTTCTCACTTTCAGCAGATATCCCCAGAAACACCCCATTTCATCAAGACACCTGCCACCAGCAGTAGGTCTGTAATGCCAACTAAATCCTTGAAAAGTAGCATGCAGTATCTCACTATTTATGAATAGTGATGACTACATTAATGCTCACAGACCCATGAGCTCAGCAAAAACCGCAGGTAATTTTTCATTATGTTGCAATTCTCTATACTTTCTAATCAACCAAGGTTCTGCTGTGAACTTCTAAAACTAGGTAAAATACCTCAGGACATGCAAAAATGCACAGCTCGTGGTGTAGTAGTAGCATAAAGCAGCACAATCTGTATCAGTCCAAATAAAATACACCCACTGTTGCATGATTTATAATAAAGCATTTTCAGTGCTGCAGTTGAAAGAAGTGAATTCATGAAGGTAAAATACAGATTCAAAGAAGCTGTTTATGTGTTAAAAAAAATAAAATGCTATGATTCCTTTCCTCTTATTTAGGAAATAAAAAGGCAAAAGTTTTCCTTATGCACAAGCAAAGCCAGCCAAAGCTTTGCACACCTACAAGCCATATAAGGCAGACTAAGAAAAGTGGTAGTAGCACACATCCAGATCCTTTATACCAATGGGTAGCTGAGACCTGTCTGGCTTTATAGGTCAAGATCCCTGTTACATATATGCATATAGAGAGAATAACTCAATATATATACTATTTACAGTATGTTTTGAACAGGGGGATTTCTGTAAATACCTATACTCAGAGGGGTGGCTTCAGTCCCTGTTAAGGCTCTGCTGGAACATCAGGGTCTTAACAGCTGTGTGGTGAGACCAGGACATCCAGACAAGCAGTTAAGCATCCTCTGCCCCTCTTTTTGGGGATTCCTTCAAGCACACTCATAGCATTCAGGAAGAAATGCCACAGTGCTGCTGCAAGCAGGGAGTGTGATATCCTGGTAGCCATGGATGAAATCCTGGCTCCCCTTCATGATGTTTCATTCCTTAATTTCCCTGTAGCCAGAGTTTTGATGAGTGACTTTGATAGATCACAGCAAGGATGAAATGCCACCTGTCTCTAAAACAGCCTCCAAAGGCAGTCTGGGCAAAAGCAACAGAATGATGTAACTGCCTCAGTCTGCTGTTTGGCCTGCAGCTTGTAACTACTGCTGGCACCCTAGCAGGCTGTGTGTGCCTCCAGCCCCAGCTCTGGGTGACCACGGGGCTGCTCTGCCTCTGTGACACCCCTCGGCTGCCAGCTCCACCTCTCTGTCTTCACTCACACACAGCTGCCTCTGCTTGCATGCCTCAGGCAATGTTTCCTTTCCTTCCTCTGGCTCAGAGGATTAGCAAATCAAGCTGGATACTAACCCAGGAGGCAGCATAGTGCCTCAAAGAGCCAACAGCGTGTGATAGCATGCTGTGCTGTGTCCCAGCTGGGTGCTCAGCGGCCCCAGGTCTGGAACAGCTCAGAAAGCATCGAGCCCCTGGCATCTGACCTGGATCAATGTAAACAAATTATTAACAACTACTCAAAAAACCCACATGAACCATACAAACTGTTTTAATTCTGTATGGACAGGTGCTGGACTCAATCGTCCATGTTGGTTCCTTCCTATTCTGTTATTCTGTGCAATTCTGGAGAAGAAAATTTCAACGCTCCCATTTGAACCTTTTATTCCAAAGTCTCAGTTCACCCCTTCAAGTTGAAGGTATGGGCAGGATTATGACATGTAGGACTATAAAACATGGATATTTTGGGATTCAGTTTCCTTAGGTGCTATAAGATTCACATTTTACATTGTGCTGTTAATAGCAGGTAATACTGCTTGTCTTTTTTTCCACCTACAATGTGTTTATCTCCAACAGCAACAATACATACCTCAGGCTGCTGGCCAGCTGTAATAAAATGGATTACATCTCAGGAAGGACAAGGCAGTCTTTGAAACCCTCTTCTTTCTGAGACTGGCTCTGGACCTGGCAACTATTACAGCCAGGAGGACTGAAAACAGAGCTGAAATGCATTTCTGGTACTAAAAGGTTGTTAGATTAATGGCTTCAAAAGAACAGTTTAACAGAAAGGAAAATTTTGGAAACTGTTTGGGTTTATTAAAAGAGGGATGGTTTTTTTAAGAGTTAACATCCCTCAGGGCTTGAGACACTTCTGGTGCTGCTTGCAGAGACCCATTAGAGACTGCAGCATGGATGAGAGACACAAATCCTGCTCTGGGCCTCTGCCTAGAGAAGGAAGGAAAGGCCATGGAGCAGTGGGAGAGAGTAGATGAGGATGACAGCTTTTTTCTGTATCTGAATTACCAGGGTTTTGAGGTATTGTCAAACCTGATGGTAACAAGGATATCTGTACCTATTTCAACATCACTCCAGTCTATTACAGGCTGTACTGAGGACACCAACTTATTTCATATGACCTATACAATATAGACACCACGTCTGGTTACATGAGCAATATGATGGCCAGCAGAACCCTAATGGTAAAAGGTTTGGCAATGTTTTATTTTGTCTCTGAGTTCCTAGAAACTTAAAAAGAAACAAGGAGGCAAATGTCTGAATAAAAGAAATCCAAGTAGTATTTATGAAGTTTTTTGGTAGGCAAATACCATTACCTAAATAGACTCTCAAACACATAAAATGGTTTTAGGTCCCTCCCTATTCCCCCAAGAGTGTCTATTCACCAGTGTATGTCTGTGTGTTCTTTTAACTTCATAAAACCCCCCCAGCAGTGTGTTGTTGAAAATGTAATGCTTCTATGGGAAGCATTCAGCTCTGACTCATTATTTGTACCTAACCATAGGATCATGAGCTCAGATACACAGAGCAACCCTCATATCAGCACAAGTAGCCTACAGCATTCTTCTCCTCACCATTTTTTTTTCACGTAGCATAAAGTTTTGTTTGATTTTTTAACCCAACCATGGCTACTGTAACAATACAAAGTAATGAACGGGTGAGAGAGCATGGGTAAGAGAGACAGGTTCTTTGGCAATGTGCTTGTTAAGCTGCTGGCAAGTTGCCTTGCTCAGAATGTGGAACAGCAGCTGAAAACAACCAAACACCAAGCCCCTATCAGGAATCCTCAGGACTGTAATGCTGTTGCTAGGGATCCTGCTTTCAAAGTGCCAAAGTTGAATAAAGTAGGTCAAGAAAATTACCATTATAATGATATTCTCCTTGCTGTTCTCTAGCTGGTCCCCTGCCTGGCCCTGTGCTGCTGTAGGACCTTCCTCAGTGCTTCATCTTGCCTCCTTGCACAGTGGCCAATCTTCACAGAAATGGCAAGAAACTCTTTTTCTGCCTTGTGGGAAAGACTCAGCTTTTTTTAGAAAAGGGAGCAGTTGCACAGAAGCCCTCAGGCTGAGAAGAGCCGACACTTCCCAGGTGAGCTCTGCAAGTTATGCTGTCCTCTCCCCTCCAGCAAACAGCCACCCTCTGGCACACACTAAGTACTGAAAGGATGGATTTTAGGATGGACATGTTTAATGAAAAACCCTGATTTAGATGCCCATTAAGATACACACCTGTCTTGCTGTTTCTCTTTGGCAAACCAAGCATCTTATTCTTCACTCCTGGGAGCATTGAATGGCTTCTGTGGAGGTGCCTAGTCTTTTTACACTATCCATCAAAAAAACCAGGCACCTATTTCTGTGGTAATATCCTAATTTAATGAGTTAACACTAATCATCTAACCTAGGAGCCCCCAGATGGTACACATCTGTCCTATTACAGCCCTACCAGTACAAGCCTGCTTTTTTTAGGTCAATTTGCTTAGGGGCTTACCTTATGAATCAAGTAGGGCTCAAGAACAAGAAAATGTACCCAAAATGTGAAAATGAGACTGAAAGACTCTGTTAGCCAGGATTATGGGCAGTTCCTCCCCTGCTTCCTTGTGGGAGTAGTCTTCTTAACTGGACTGTATCATCACAGTGGTCTGATCTCGTTAGGCCAGATGGTAGCCAGTATTTTGGAGAGTGGTGGCCAGGCCTGATTCACTTCTGTTCTTCCCATTTTCAGAAGAAACATATGTTCTCTCTGCTGCTGTGCAGGAAGACTAAGGAAGACTCAGGAAGACTAGGATCAGGTTGTTTAGTTCATGGCACAGTCCGGTGCTTAACCCCCTTTCCAGCCAGCCATGCCTGCGCATTGCCAAGAAAATGACTCAATACATAACATTAAGAAAGAAATTGCTCCTCTGGTCTATCATCAAAATGAAAATATTAATATCTACTTATTTAATAACTATGAATTAGATATTGTTTGCACAGTATTCATGTATGAAAAAGAGGTAAGACTATTAACTATGAGTGCTGGTGATACATATTCTCTATCTTCATCTCAGAAAGAGCTTGTGGGCAGGGAGAGGCAGTTGTATGCCTTCTGATAATAGCAAAGCTCAAAGTGAGGAACATAATTGCACACATATTTTTGTCATACTTTTGCCTGAGGCTGTGGACAATATTTTGGATCTAGCTCTATTTTTTTCATGGCAAAGATAAATAGATTATGCTAGTCAAGTAATTCCTTTGGTGCCCTCCTCTATTGACAAAGATTGCACTGAGGGCACTATTTCCATGAAAGTGGCAGGAGCAAAACAGAATCAATCACCATGTTCTGAGATCCCTGATTCTGCCTTCCCAAAGGAGTTTGTGCTAAATATCACTACTTTCATTTCCTCTGATTTCTCTATTTTGTTTTTCATATCTCTTCTTTTTTTTCCCTCCTCACAGAACCATTTCAGAGAGCAACTCCCAAAACTTTGCCTTTGCCACCTGCCTTAGAGAACCCTCCCCAGAGCCACAGCTTCATTTTTGCCAGGATGCCTGGTGAGCAGTGACTTGCTGTGACATCTCATCATTTTATAAAGACCTACTTAACTGCTTCATCTGGTTAGCTCAACACCCCAGGATATGGAACAGCTGCTCCCTATAAGCAGATACATAAGTGTAACAAAAGACATGGTTCTCAGCAAACAAAATTAGCTTTCAACATCAATGGAGATATTCAGGAAAGAAGAAAAAAGCTATGAATTTCATAAATACCCAGTTTTTATCTAGAACTAGAGTTGGACGGTGTCTGTTTTGCTCTGAGGCTTGGCCATCTTATTTTATTTTGTTTCACAGCAGTTGCAATTGTCCTTCGATTGTGATGGGCTATTGTGCTGTTTTCCCATTAATTCTATTTGAATTCATATTAAGGGTTCAATTGGACCAGATTTCTTATGTATGTTAAAGTGTTCCTTGGTCCTGCTGTTATTTATATATTTGTTCCCCAGGTTTTTTAGGTACCTGACAAGAGGGCTCCAGGTACTGTTAACTGTCCTTTAAGATATTTTGACAAAAACGCCAGTTCCAATTAGATCAAACAATCCAACAGTGAAGTCAGCCTTGTACAGGTTCCCCATTTAAGCCCTTTCCAGTGCAGCTCTCTTCATGCACTCTGCCCTCTGCTCACCTCCCGAGGATGAGGACAATTTCTTTAGGACCTGCAGGGAAACAGCACCAGACGCCCACACGTTCAGATTTCAAACTGCTCCAGCACAGGTACTGCTGCTGGCTACAGCTGTTGCAATGGCAAGGACAGCAGGAGAATACAGAGTGTGTCTGTAATGTGTAATTTCCTTTGGCTCCCTACGCTTTCATACTATCCTTTCCAAAGCCAGGGCATTTAACACAACACAGACACTTTGTACAATGTTGGCAAGAAATCTCTGTATTCAACAGATGGTACTGGGCATCTGTTCTGATCCAGCTGACAGCAGAAGAATTTGGAGACAGAAGAGAGTGGTCCTGTATTAATAAGGGAGTTCAGTACATATTTGATGACTAGAAGTTCAGTCACTATCAGTGATAGCACATAGCATTTCCCACTGCTCTCCAGCTACTTTGCTCCATTGCAGAGACCAGCACAAAATAAGCTTCAGAAATACTACAGAAAGCAGGGAATTGAGGAGTCATATGCAGTGCTTATAGGCATAGGCACTCCATGGGAGTCAAACCAGGCCAGGAGAACTTGTCAGGAACAGGAGACAGGGCAGTCCTTTGCTGCTCAAATCTAGAGGAGCTGCTGGATCAGGGTGCAAATTAGAACATCTTCAGGTGGGAAATCAACTTTGAAAGGTCTGTAAACACTTTCTTAGCATTAGCTACAGCATGAGTAGGACCAGCATCTGTAAAGAGGAGAGCCTCTTGCCTGGGTCAAAGTCCTGTCTGCCACATCTGGTCTTTTTCCAGAGTAACATCTCTGATCCACTGACTTTGAACTTATCACGTGTAAGGGTTGCCATGGGGACACACTGAGATTGTGCCATTTTAACATTTATCTTCCAGATTCCTCAAAGAAATGACTACATAAGCTTCTAGGCAATAAATATGCATATAAAAATGTGAATATACAAACCAACCCATCAAGCAGCTTCAAAGCTGCAATATACCCCCATCCTGGCGGACTTGAGTCTTAGCTGCTGTTTGCACAGTAGCTGTGGGAACACTCACTCTGCCCAGGATCCTCTATGCCATGAATGCAAAAAGGAACAATGTTTGGGTGAATGGCTCATAAACACAGCTTGTTTTCACAGAGAGAGAAGACTGGGAACGAGGAAGCTGTGCAATATTTAAGAGGAATTTCTGATCATTCATAAAGCTCTACCTGTGCTTTACTTATGGTACCTTTTAGGCAAATTCAACAGTCTATAGCAAGAAGACAAAATTGACATAAAGAGCTGTAATCTAAACTTCTTGCTGAACAGCTGTGTGGAAAGGGAGACAAGCCTGAGCTCTTACCCAGAAATGCTTGTGGCTTCTCATAATTTAGACTTTTTACCTTTGCTGTCTTTGGGAGAGGAATTAAAAAAAAAATTAAAAAAAAAGGAGAAAATAGGGAGAAAGATGGCAAAGAGGTAAGAAAAAGAGAGAGGAGTACTACAGTTAGCATTAGCTGATGCAGCATATGGCCCATAACCCATGGCAGGGATAGGGCTGACTTGCTCTCCCCCAGCAACCATATAGCTGCTAAGTAAGAGTCTTGCCAGGATCTCAGGTATAAAGAATAGATGAGTTGTCTAGGGAAAACTACTAATACCACTGGAGTCACTGAAATATCTCCAGGGACACTGTAAGGAAGAGGATACCCTAGCCAAGTGGCAAATGGTCTGTTTTGATCCTCAAGCCCATAAATTGGGGGGATGTTCACACAGAAAGCTGCGCTGTAGCTCAGAGGCAGCAAAAGTTCAATTCATCATGGCAGCTTGCTGTGCCCTGCACCTGCACTACAGCACAGAGTCTTGGAATCTCCATGTGGTTTTACCCTTGCAAAATGTGTGGCACCATCTAGAGAATACCTCTGAAGGCAAATCTTATCCATGTCCTCTCCCCACCGATGTCTCACCCACAACCACTCTGGAGATGCCCACTCATAGCTAAGTCCTGGGGCAGTTCTGAGGGCAGCAGAAGCTGGGGTAAAGCAGCCTTTAAGTATAAGGGTCAATCAGGGTGGCTTTAGAAAATGCTTTCTGACTGTCCTTCTTCCCAAGGGATGATTCTGGCAGTGGAACTGAGAAAAATCATCAAGGCAAAAGGAAGCACAATATATAATTACGTTACTTCATATGTCCAGCATTCTGATAATGTAACCTTGTAGATACTTTTTAATTTTTAATACAGAGATACTTTTAAACAGGTGTTTGAGTTGTTAAGGGGAGCCTAAGTCAGATGAATAAATATTTGGCAAATTTTTGATGGCTGAATATGGTTAGAATACAAAATACTCTTGATAAATTGAAAAAGCTTTCTGGACAAACATCAAAATGGTTCTCAACAAGGGTGAGTGCAGTGAACTATACCCAGGCAAGCACAGTCAACTGAGCAGATGAGTACAGATTCAGCTGGACAGCAAGACCTAGAAAAATTTCTCATAATTACAATGGATTAAAATGTTTGCACAGGACAATGCCATTGGAAAGTAAAAAAATTCCTTGAATTATAAAAAGAGGAGAAAAACCTGGAAGATGCTGTGTTGGTAAGATCTCAACTGGAGTGGAATGTCCAGTTTTATACCAAATATTTGGAGAATGACCTGGAGAACCTGGAGAGCATGAGAACACCTTAGTACCAGAAAACTAAGAATCATCACCAGAGAATAGTGATTGAGATGATTTTGTTTATCTCAAAAGAAGCCTTAGAATACAGACAAGACAATTGCAAAGGGGAAGGGAACAACTTGTCTGTTCAGATGTCTCAATTGCAACGAAGAAGATTCAGAGGCAAATTAGGAACTATTCTATGTCACTAAGAAAATGGAGCACAGAAATAGATATGATGGATCTTCATTACTGTAGCCTTTGACTAGGAATTATATAGTCTTTTTGAGGAATAGGAAGGGAAGGCATGTAAATAGGTCTGATTGAAGCTTTTTAAGCCTAAATGATACTCATCAGTATATTTTATTGTATAATAATTCGCTCTAAGGGGTTCTTAATTTTGTTTTTTAATGCAGAAATGTGACACAGAAAAATGAAGAAACCAGAGATTCAAGAGGTTTTTTAACTCAGGTGGAGGTTGGTGCCTTTAGGTAAAGTATGAAAACAAAAGAGGAACAATTATCACTAGCTTAGTCTTGCCACTCTGGGGAAACAGTGCAATTAGGGCAAGGAGTGAAATACCAGCATGACCTGAACAAGCTCATTATCAATGAGATTTCAAAATGACAATATCAATTAATAAAATGCACCATGCAGCATTAAAATTCTAGCATGAATTTAAGCTATCTATAAGGGGCAGAAATAGAAAGTTTGTAGGGTTCTTTGTTTCACTTTACCTGAGAAACAAACCTTATCTTTTGATGCATGATGAGGCAAAGACTCTAGCATTTGAAAAATTTTTTTACTGTCTTGTGTATGTAATCTGTTTCTTAAGACAAAGCATTGGTTCAGATAATAAATTATTCAACAAATGAAGTTATATTAAAGAAACTCTCTTATCAATTAGAATTAATCCTTCACTTCTGACATTTGCAGCTAAGGTGTACAAGGAGATAATATGATACAGCAATGAGAAAACACACTGTCTGGAGCTAAAAATATCACAACCCACTCTTGAAAGTTAGCTCTAAGATGAACAAATTACCCTTTTAATGAAGTGAGAGGCATATATTTGACTATCAAATAATATTGAGTATTTAGTACTAAAGAAAATGCAGATGTTACTAATAATACACACTTTTTCTCATTACAAATTCTAGTACCATATAGTTAGAAAAGACAAAAGTCAGTATAGTGGGAAGATTCCTATTAGCTCTAGTGCCTAACAGAATCAAGGTCAGATAAGAGAAAGAGCACTAATTCCTGCTAGATAGAGCAGCTGGGATCAAGACTTCAGCATGCCAAACTCTGTTCCTGGTTTAGGGATCACAAATCAAGGAACAATAGTACAAGCAGTGTCTGTAATGCCTCACTGGACTTTCCAGGCTTTACAAGTTGACTTGATCTAGTAAGGAAAATACATCATGGTTTTATCAACAAAAGCAAAACCACCAGTGTACAGCTCACTGCCCTCCCAGGCACCCTAGCAATAGAATTAGCTGCAGGGGCACATAGAGTTTCCCCACAGTGTGTTGTGCTGAGCACATGGGCATGCGAGCACAGACAATGAATTTGCTCAGCATCAGTTGCTCCAGACTAAAGCAGTCATGCTTTCAGTGCTGAAGGGAAAATGCTGAGATGCTGTGACACCACCAGTGGGCAACTCCCGTGGATAACTCCTGTGATAGTGCTGTGCACAACTCCTGAACACCAGCAGCATGCCCTGCTTGAGGAGTGGGAGCACTATGGACCAGATATTGCTGTATCTTCAGTGACTCACTCTATGCAGCAGCTTTAGCGAGGGAAGTCCAGGCAGCTGCAGTGCTGCCAGCTCTCATGACACATCACACTTTTGTAGTCACTGAGCTGGTGCAAATTGATTCTTGTTCTCTCTTTTTAACATAAAATGCAATTTACCTCTCAGAGGAGGAGATTTTTGGGTAAGAAGAAACAGTTCAAAAATTAACTTTGGTCACAGAAAGCAAAATTTTAATTTGCAGTTCAAAGCTACCTATTAGTGAATGGTACCCAGAGGAGGAAAATCATGCAGCTGTCTGAAAGGAGACCAAAATTCAAATGAAATGTTTCCAGGTAAGCCAGCCAAATTTATCATAACTACTCCTGGGTGAGCAGACCAAAGCCTATAATTTGTCTACAGCATCCTACAGCTATGTGTGTAATCAGATAAATACCGTAGGCCTGGACTGAAATCCACTTTTCAATAATTAACATAAATAAATACATAAATAAATAAGACAAAACATTAGGGTTTGGGATTTCGGTTTTTAGCAAACACATTATTTCCTCATTCAGATAGATAATTTCTTTGAAAACATGCAGAAGCTCCCTTATCAACAACAGCAATGTTGCCTTTGCAAGCTCTTTTAAAAAAATACTTGTGTGTGCTAGATGCATAAAATATCTTTTCAAAAGCAATTTATGCCACTGAGAATTGGCTGTCTAAAGACCTTTGAGGATTTAGGCTTTGAGGCTGGATTTTTGAAGCCTCAGGTCTTAGGCCTCATTTTTAAGGGTAAAACTCTAACACAAATAGTTGAAAGGTTTCTTTTTTAAAGTTCTACGTTTAATTTTCTAACTCGCTCCTATCTCCTTAAAGAGTTGTATTGTATTGCTCAGGCCGTGGCTGCACACCTTACTTCCAGGGAATGATTAACTGAGGTTTTCCGTGCCGGGAAGGGGCTCTCAGCTCTCACTACACAGGGGCTGGCTCACACTACAGGCAGTTGCCAAGTCAGTGCATCTTTTCAGCTCTGTGGACCCCTTTTTAACATGCAAAACTCTTGTGTTTCTCCCCTAAATCAGGTCTCTACAGGGAGGAAATCGTGTGAGAAAGCCCAGTCTGTACCTCCTCATGGGCAGTTTTCCTCCCTTGTCCTGTTGCACAGACCATGACACACATGTGCCATTGCTGAGCTTAACAAAATAAAGAAATTGACATGCTAGATGGCAGCATGGAGAGCCCTTCCCTACAGCATGTCCATGTTCCTGGCACAGGGAACAGCTGTACCACAGCAAGGAGAGCAAATCTGGACATCTTGACCGTGCGCTTAGCAAAAACCCAATCAAAGAAGTCTACAGTTGCTGTTGAAAATGAAATTATTCCTGAAGGAGTAAGATAAAAGTAGGCAATCCCCTTGCCTAGGGCCATGTTTTATTCAGACTGCCCTGTTTTGTAAGGGGGATTTATTGAATTTTCTAGTTTCATAGAGTTTGTCCCATTTAATTTTGTTCTAAATCCTAAAAAAGCAGTACCTGAAGTCCTGAGGCTGAGTAATGGGAGTTTCCTTTGTCTGTCCAGCTTTGATGAATATTGACTAGTTTCATTTACATAACTGCAATGGTAACACTTCAGCCAGCATTATATCCAGGAGAGCTGATTGGCAGGCATTTGAAATGAAGGATTATCCTGCGGTTGAGGCAGAAGAACAGGACTCAGGAGACCTGATTTCTGTTCTTTGATCTGTCACATAAATCCTGCATGACACTGGGCAAGCCAATTAATAGCCCTGTGTCCGTGTTCTTTAGCAAAATTGAGGTATGAGTGTTTTGTTTCTGATTTCACTTTTCTCCAAACACAGGGGCAGCTCTGGAGATTGTTTTTTGTTGATTGGTATGGTAAGGACCTCATTTCTGTTGTGCTCCTCAGTGCTTCCAAAATTCAAAACAAAAAATCCTTTTATAATTTCATGATCTGTTTTCATGCAAATACTAAAAAGTGATAGAGTTCTCTTCTACATAAATTGGGCCTAGGAGTTTCATCACTAGTTTTCATTATTATAATTTGCTACTCTTTGCCTGGCAATGATTCCAGGCCTCAGAAAACACTTGAGAAAATTATTTTACAAATGTGGTCTGTAGAAGTGAGCTCTGGGTGTGGGTGAGAGATTGCATTTATGCATCAAAGTAATAGTAGTAGTTTTGCTCCAGTCGTGATGGTAAAAATGTGTAAGCAAATCAAGTCTTCTTTTATCTCTTACTAGCACAGGTAGGGTGCCAAATACACAAGGCCAGTGCTCACATTGTGACTTCTGAAGTACCTGAGGAAAATTCAGAGATCCAGCCTCCTGCTCTCCTGCCCTGTTTTCCTTGCCCAAAAAGTGCCAGCGTTGGTGCTGATTTTACCAAGTGAATGAACAGATACAAGTCCCCATCAAACACTGCAAATCTGCACCTAACATTAGTATATTCACAGCCATTATAGAGGTCAGAGGAAGAGTTTGCTCTCATTTTTCCATCCCCAGAGGGCAGCTGACAGCTCAGCACTTGATCTGCAGTGATGGACAGTGACTGCACCAGAGTTTCCTTTCAATTTCGCTCATACAAGACACTGATTATTTGGACAGATAAATATGAGAGTGGAATAATTTACTGCCATGCTTCTCACTGTGCTGAATAAGTCTCCCTTTAATTTAGCTCAGCTACTGAAAAGAAAATATATTTTTATTCTAATTTTCTGATTGCTTACAGGGGAGAATCATTGTTGCAGATATGATTTAATAACAACAACTTGGACCTGGACCAGATCAATAGATGAGCACCAGGCATAAAAACAGAACAGGCATAAGAACTTTTATTTTTCAGTCTTAGAAAAAAGCTAAATACAGCAGGACATCAAACAACACGTTCTCTTCTTCCTGGTTTGCTTGTAATGAAATAGCCCAACTCCAGATTTGCATCTGGAGTGATAAATTTGCTCAGCTTTTCCTACCTGTCATTGAACACCTGTCTCTTTTTAGGAGGGGCCATCACAGCCCATCTGCTCTTCTTTCCAAAAGTATTTCAGAGGGGCAAGCCACCTACCTACAGAGCATTTTACTAATGCAAAAGAAACCAAGCCATTGCTATTTAATGTGAACTTGTAGTCAGTCTTCATTATTAGATTTCAGGCCAATTTGACAATGACCTTTTGCCTGGTGTTGTTAATTTTGTTTCCTGTAGTTTTTCATTAAAGGAAGATAATGAAAATACAAGCTCCTTGGTGTAAATCATTAAAGACTCTGACTAGCATTGTGATAGCAAAAAGTAGATTCTTTCGCTTCTGTTCTTTTCTTGTTCATATTTTGAAGTACCCTTATAAAATCATGAAAGTGAAAGACTCACTAGCCTGCAAAAATAAAGAAGTCTTCATAAGACACCATACTGTGCTCCATGAGAAGCCCCTGTTGTACTGCCGTTGGCAAAATTCACAAAGAGTGGTAGTCTGCAAAAAGATTCCTTAATGAGGACAGCATGTGCCAGCAGAAAGGAGCTGTGTGGCTGAAAAGCTGAACTACCCCAGTGGTGCTGGGCACTCATGAGATGTTTTGGTCACCAGAAGATGCCAATCTTCACTACCAGCTTCTGCAACCCTTTTGCTGAAACAGAGGGTGCCGGGTGGATGACTTATTAAGGATTCCTTTCTGTGTGCCCTTTAATACACTGCAGACTAACCTGATGTTCAGGCAAATGCATTTCACAGGAGTGCCTCATAAGCAATCTGTACACACATTAGCTGGGAAATTGCAATGGTCTCGAAACTGAAGTAGTTTATACTGCATTATCCCTGTCAGATTAGCTTTAAAGACCAGATTTTCCTTTTGCATTGACAGAAATAGTGAGTGTTCTCCCTGATATCCTTCACTTGGAAAAAAGTGAGTTCTATTACAGTATCTGCTTCTCTTTTGAGCAGAATCAGTTTTGTCTATTTTCTAGACTGGGGAGCACTTTTTCTATGCTATGTTATGCCTCAGTAAAGTAGCAAAGAATTTGGATTGAGTGGGCAATTTGATTACAACAATTCTGTTGGTGCTGAACTGTAATGTTTCAGCTGTCCTACTAGTTTGCTCATTCTAACTCCTCCTAAAAGTAAAAACCTGAGCTGAAAAAATAACCCTGAAAGAAAAGAGTCAAGGCTGATTAATGTAGTTACCAGTTTGCTAAAAATTAAATAATTAAATATTTAGCTGATTTAGACTTCTAGTTGCCTGTAGCAATTGGACAAGTACGTTGGATACTGCAAGAAAAGTGGGTTAACTTGAGCAAACTGCAAGACATAAATGGATGAAGATTACTTCCACAGTAACCTTAAGCTGTCCTTCTCCAACATGCTTGAGTTCCCGTTCTGAATGTATTCGTAAGTATCTCACTTTTCTAATGTAATTGTATCAAATAATTGCAATCACAAAATTCTTCAATATTTATAGGAAAAACAACAGATCTAGAGATCATTGGCACTTTCAGTTTTGCCAGTAACCTGGATACTGCCTTGAAATTTAACAAAACCACAGGGGGTTAGAAGTGGCTGAAGACCTACAAACTATCATCAGTGAAGTAAGAAACTGGACCCCATGACCTAATAGGTATTTCCATCCCTATTCCTAGATACCCAGGACAATGCTATTATTTTTAAAAATTCTCTCCACGATGTTATAAATAGAAAGTAACACAGATATTTGTGACTTCTTAAATATTGTACCTGCAAAAATCTAGACCTTCCTTCCTGATCTTCGCACCCTACTTAGTTAGGCAAGGCTTTGCTGAAATCTGTGACAGTTTTGACTGAATAAGGGCAGCAGGATTTGATCCCATGATAATAATACAAAAATCTGAATTCCAAACAAGGTATATGCCAGAAATTCCTTGTAAAAGGAGTACAATTTTTTTTTTTTAGCAGTATAACAGTGTGGCAGAGAAACAGACTGTCAGACACTTCCAGAATCAGTGTTTCCAGCACAACAAATATTCATTTTAAACAGTGGAGTACAAAGCTATGAATCATGTTTCATGTGAAGTGCAAAAATCAAAAAGAGGTAATGAATATTACAGGTTGTAATATCAATCTTCTACTAGTTCTACTCAGGTTCAGTACTTGAACTAAGTCCCAGGTTAGTTCCTTCTGCAACAGTCTAACTTTCTTTTTAGAGTACAAGGGATTTCTAGTTAAATAACACATCTCCATCATATCCTTATTAGTTATTATTTATTTCATTCTATTTGATTTCTAGTATTACTGCAATTACAAATGACAAAAAGCAAGAAAGAAAGCATTTCTGTAACTGATCAAACTCTGTGGTCTGCCAGTTCCATT